AAAGATTTCTTTAAGTATATCATGGGTAAACAAAATGTTAGGATGGGGTAAGACCCTTGAGGGATGAAAAAGAAAGGCTAGTATTTTATGATTATGAGATGGCTGGGTTATTAAGTTGTGCTTTTTCTTCAGTTTTTACTGATGAAGATTTAAGCAATACTCCTCATCTTGAACAGTTGATAGATGGAAACAAGAACGAACAAGATGATGATCTGAGCAATAACACCCCTGGGTTAAATATTATTTAAAACAAAAGTTTTGGAAGAGGTAAGGATTGGATATGTGAGCCATTTGTTACTATTTTTTGTCAGTTCTTGAATAGTGGGCAGTAATCAGAGGATTGGAAATTAGCTAATGTAACTCCTCTATTCAAGGGAGGTGATAAAAACTGTGTCAATAATTATAGGTCTATTAGTCTTACATCAGTTGTGGGAAAAGTTTTGGAAAGTCTGATAAAAGATGCTTTGCAAAGTAATTTAACAAAGTTTAAAATTTTATTGGCTAGTCAACATGGTTTCACAAAGGGAAAATCTTGCCTTACAAATCTTTTGACATTCTTTGAAAAGGTTACTGCTGATGTAAATGAGAGTAAGGGTATAGACTTGGTGTATCTGGATTTTTACAAATCTTTTGACAAGAAGCCAAATAAAATACTTAAAAAAAAGATCTCTATAGGTGTGGGGGATAAGTTAGCTAATTGGATAGAATACTGGCTGGATGGAAGAAAGCAGAGAATTGTTATAAATGGAGTTCAGTCAAAATGGATTAATGTAACTAGTGGGGTACCTCAGGGCTCAGTCTTAGGACTTTTGCTCTTTTTCATTGACATCAACAACATATATAAAGGTCAATGGTCAATAACTTACTTGATTTTGCTGATGATATTAAGGTCTTGGGTGTTGCTAGCTGTGAAAAGGATGATGCTGATTAACAAAAGTATTTAGATCATTTAGTGAGTTGGGCAAATAAATGGAAGATGGGTTTTAATTATAATGCAATACTTCTGTAGATACAACCTAAAAGACTATTTGCCCTACCACTAGCAAGAGCACATTGCTTGGATGGCTTATGAGACTGATCAACTACTGCACCAAGATCCCTTTCCTTCATAACACTGTTAAGGTTATTCCCATCCAAATGATACTTATAATTCAAATTATGATAACTCACATGCATTATCTTGCATTTATACAAGTCTAAAGAGGTTATAATGTCATTATATATTACACTGGTTATGCTACATTTGGAGTATTGTGTTCAGTCTTGGGCTCTTTACCTTAGGAAGGACATTGAATTATTGGAAATGGTTCAGAGGTGGGCTACTAGAATGGTGCCTGTGATGGAGGGGTTGTCATACAAAGAGATGTTAAGATCTGTGACACTGTTTTCTCTTGAAAAATGATGAGTTAGAGGGGATCTGATGAGATGTTTAATATTGTTAAGGGAACTGATAATTGATATTTAATGGTGAGAATGGTAGGACTACGGGACAGAGATATAAATTTTGGCAGGGTAGGAGTCATCTTCAACTAAGACAGTTTCATTTTTCTAACAGGGTGGTTGGCCTTTGGAATGGGTCAGCTTCAGATGTTGTGGAGGCAGTAAATTTAAGTTAGTTTAAGAAAAAGCTTGATAAGTATATGAATGATGAAGTATGGCTTTAAGATTTTATTTTTTTTAATCATTTTAATTTAGCTTAGAGGATGGAACAGCCGAGATGGACCAGTATTCTTATGACTGTCATGGCTGTTTTCAAAGTAGCATTTTCCAAAATCAATACATTTTCAGAAAAGAAAAGTTTTATGTATATTAGTTTACTGTAATTAAACATGTGCTATTGTGAAATCTGGCTTCTTATGATACTTCTGATAAAATTAAACAAACTAAATACTTACTATGTCATTCATCATTGTACTAACTGCTGGACCAAAACTTTTCTTAATTACATTATTTTCTGAATTCTGTCAAAAGAGAAAATTTCTTTCATTATTTCTTTTATTTTTACATATAAAATTCAAATTATCTATTATAAAACACTTCAGATCTTAAGCTTTTATAAACCAATTAACTGATTTTAATTTATAAGCTTCAGTGCAGTTACTTAATGTTGCTAACTATGTTTAAACTGATGGATCTAAATGTACAAAGAAATTCAGTAAGTGATAATTGTAATGTACTTTGCGGTCCTAATAAATGTACTACTGATATGTAATAGCATGTTTTAGATTTCTACATACTATTACAATAAGTATATTTTGATTACCTTTAAGTCCCACTCTGGTTTTAATTGTTTCAAGGTCTGAATATACTGTTCCATGGCTTCTGATTTTGTCATGTCACCTAGCATTTTCCAAGCTTCCCTAAAAATATTAAAACTAAAATAATTATTGATAATAGGGCCAACTCTATTCTACGCATCATAATACAGTATTTGATTTTCATAAGAAAGACAAAAATATTACTTATATGTATTCTTGTGATCGATATTTTCAACCCTTTCATGACAAGTAATACAACATAAGTGTATCTTTATTCAAGTATATTCAAGAAATTTTCAAAAACTCAGTGTAGGCATTTTATATGTAGTGCAAAATCATTGTACTGTGAATATATGAAGGCTGTAAACTTACACTTGCTTGGCACACCCTCCTTGAGTGGGATAATACTCATTTGTATGAGTTGGGGATAATTTCCTTTACATATGCTAACTTGGAATAATCACTAACATATTTTGGTAATCTAAGGATCATGGGATACCACACTAAAATTATGTTCTGATATAAAATGAAATAACTACATGATTATCTCTCTCTCTTGTCCTGTCCTTGTCTTATGTGGGCACATTAGGAAATACCCAGAATTTATTCAGTAATTTAGATATCAGCCACTCATTAAATTACATGACCAACAAGGTATCTGAATAAAGATTTTGTTCATTTGCATACTTGCATATTTGTATTCTTGTTACTGTCCATTACTGAAATTGTTTTGCATAACATTTGTAAATCCTGCATTATGTGGATACTTGATACTATTCTGCCAAATGTCAACATACCAGACTACTATAATATCACATTAAAAGACAGGAAGGGACCTTTTGGTCCTTCTAGGCTGGCCCTATCTACTAAATCAAACTAAATCTTTAAAAAAAAAAACAGAAAAAGAAACCTCAAAGAAAGCCCTTATCATTCAAATACTTATAAAGCTTTCCCTTAGAAGATATGCCAAAGCAAAATGATGTCTCAGACACAAACATTAGAGTAGATGTTTTTCTTAGTATCACAGAAATCATCACCACTTCCTGTAAATTCCTTGAGAGCACAGAAACAAAAGTAACAGAGAAAGAAAAATAATGACAATTAATATGTACATTGCACCTATTGGACAACTCTGAGAATTAGTGTACAGAATATTGCTCTTTGTTTGGAATTGTTGCGTATCTGCTTGTTTGTTAATTTCTGGTATAAATTCTTTCCGAGAAACTTCAGATACAAGTCCTTTCTTGATCAAAACTAGTTTATTCTTTCTTGA